TTGAATGTAGAATACCGTTGAGCTTAAATGCAACGGCACTAAGTGTCCGTGTCCGCTGTTCTCCCCATGGCCTAGTCGCAAAGCTGTTGTCTGGTGACGTAAGCAACTAGTGGTCATGTGTTCGGATCCTGATGGGGCCGATGGATGCACACTACTGACGACAGCCAACATGCCCAGATGGCCGTCTAATGTTTTCCCAGACATGTGGAGGACTATCTGCTTTGGAAAGTTATGCGCTGAACCCTCAATTAAAATTACATCAAAAATCCCCAAACGCATGACTTCAACACCACTAACCGGTGTCATAGTCCACCTGACTTTTAGCAGGCAGGTTGCCAGTGCAGCGTCAGTATCGACGGAGAAGGCGTTGCCTTCTGTTGGGGAGATGATATTCTCAATGAGACGTGTTAACGGCTCGTTACCTGTAGTTGCAGGACTCAATCCTTTAGGACAAGCGTGCGTTTGGAAAAGTCAATTCAGCGAAAATTACAGCATGTCTGGCATGCCGAACTTCTCCATGTATACTGTCCGTTTACTACCATAGCAAACGTCCCTAATGAACCGATGGTGTTCCTTTTCTGACTCAGTTAAACAAACATTGAGTAACCCACAGGAACATCGGCCAATCCGCTTCTACCGATTGAATGCATCATCACCGTCTCTTTTTGATCATCTACTTCGGTCCTTTGAATCATCCATTCACTCTGATAGGACGCTGTCATCATACCCATGATTTTGTTTGCTTGAAAATCAGTGGAAAGTGGATCAGTGATGTTTGCTTGGGTCTGGTAAGGCCGTCGCCATTTAAATAAACGATAATATAGTTAATTTTCAAGGGTTCCTATATCGGTTATTTGAAGTGATTGGCAGTTTGAACATATTAGAGTGATAAAGAAACGGGGAACAATAACAAATGGACATTTAACCAAAATTTCAAATACGGCCATGCATGGAACCGTCACCAGGGGACCTGCTTCCATGCAGGGTAATCTCTCGTTGGGTTTCACCCGTACTTCTAGGTTCCAACTGGCTCTGTGCCAGTGTGGCAAAATAGTAAAGAGGCCATCAGCTGGGTAACAAAGGTTTTCCTTTCATAAGGGCTGCATTATGCGTACTTTACGGGTAATCAAGTCTCAGCCCGTCCCGTCATGCGCATCATGCAAGTATGACACTTTTTGTTATAAGCCAGCGAGTCAGTAGCAGTATGATTTGTATGGGCATAATTTTTTAGTTTGGAAGTTGTAATCCGTCCCCTCAAGAGATCAGCCCAGTCATGGCCAACAATGAAACAAAGAAGATAAAGTATGAGGAATTAAAAAAGCATAATAATGAATACAATCGCTTGCCGATAGGCCAATCAAAATTTGATGGAAAATCTTGGCGGGTGACGACGATGGTACAGATACTTCCGCCTAAAAGGGGTTGTGCATCTTCGAACCAGTGCACCAATGGAGAAAACAGAATTGGTTAAATAGGAGTAATGTCGTTTATAGATACATACTCAAGCTTTCAAGTAGATGTAGGTAAAATTATAATAATGAGACAAATAGGGGATATGGCGACTTTCAAGTGTATCCAGAACCTTTCTCATACAAATCATCTAGAGCCATATTTTGGCTAAGTGTCGACCAGATATTTGAAAATGTCAGGTGAACATTAATCATGCGTTTGAATTGCAGATGGGTAGTGCAGTTTCTAATGATGGAAGTTTGTTCCATTTTAACGCATATGTTACAGCGAAAATTTTGAGAGTAGCTTGATGCGAGACTTTGTATTTGCAATGTGCACCCGCTGTTGCTTAGTTCATAGCGTATACGAGTCTGAAACGCGAGTAGTGGCTGAGTAGTGAAGCTTAATCCGAATAGTAAGCGGGATAGAAGGCACAGATTAAGAGTGTCTGCGCAGCCATAACGACTCCATTGTTAGAACATCGCAACGCTCACGGTATGTCATAGTGTTAGGCATGTTCAAAAACCTCTTTGTAAATGATCGTTAAATGTTTTAGAATGCTATGATGTCCACTTTTCTCAGATTACCGTGCACTATCCTACAGTACTCAGGCTTCGACCCAACACACATTTTAAAGACTTGAAGCCTGGAATCCCTCAAGATAAGAGTTTGGCTTATGTAGGCTTTCACTTTTCTGGCCGAAGGCGGCAAGAATATAACGCTCTAAAAAAATAAATGTGTCCGAATATCTTAGACCAAGGTCTAAGACTGCGCCACACGCAGGAATAGGGGTGTTGTTTAAGGTTAGGATGTTCGGAGAAGGACCACAGCCGTGGTGCAGTAGATAACACTTGTCAGTGGCAAAATGCAACTTCCAGGAGTTATTCTAGTGCTGTAATGCTGACAGGTCATCTTGAATGCAGACTAAATTAGGACCACCTTGCTTAGGGGCGGAACAATACACAATTTTAACACCATCAGCTAGGAGGAATGGCTTCCCGTACAAGATTTCCTCAAGGAGATCGTGGAACTAGAATTAGAATAAAGCTGGGTCTAGCACGATACCTTGAAGCACTCTACTAGAGCTTGAGGTGGCTTCAAATATATAGTTACCAATTTTGATTGCTTGCTTTCTACCCTCGAGGTAGGAAGACAACTAATCTGGAAGCGAATTTGTGATACCATAAGACATAAGCTTCCGCAGCAATAAATTGTGTGGGACACGGTCGAAAGCCTTTTGATTATTAAGAATATTATAACGATGTGTGTTAGGTTACCAATATGTATAAAGGCATCATTTTCCAATGGCACGTATCTGTTCCGATCAAGAAAGTGGTTGAGCCCGGCAGAAAGGCAGGACTACAAAGGCTAATGAATGAACACGGATCGTTTAGGTTCTTCTGTATCAATGTGACTTGTATGATCTTGGTCAGTACGTGCGAGTTTAATGGTTCCATATGTTTTTATTAGTTTACAGGTATGAAGATGGAAACCGGGCATGACTTCACGTTGTATCCGTAATGGATATGAAGGAATAGATGTTCATTAACAAGTGCTGAGCAGATTACACGGGCTATCGAGAGGTGGCATTCGAATAGAGTCACAACTGAGTCATTCCAAAGCGGGCAAAACATGAATAGATGAAAACATAGCCCATTTATATGGGGACAGATGTTCAACCAAGTTAGATCCCCGCACACAACTTATTTTTGCTCTTATCAACATGCTCACTGCCTGAGTAAAGCAATTCCCTATCCAGCAACGATTGAATTGTCCTAGTAGTGGTTATGATCATGGAGAGGTTAATGAGCACACAACATTTTGTTGTTAACCTTCAGACCAACGTTCGTCGCAGAACACAACTTCAACCAGACGCGGGAAAGCGTGGCGAACGATTGAATGGTCTTTATGGAACTGTGATTAATCAAATGGACGCCCTGATCTTCCCACAATTAGCGAAAACTCGGAGAACCTGTAAGATGCCACAGGCGGATATAATCGATGAAACAGCTACGCTGTTTGATTTCTATTACTGATATCGTGTATCAGTTATGGAGAAGACGGTTGCTAAGACGAGTAACCATTTCCTCTATTTCTCCGTGACTTGGAGAATACCAGAATAAAAGGCTGATCAGTTGTGTGGTACAAGGCGTAACAGAGGCAATATATCCTAAACTGGGGGACTGCGGATTGGCAACATACCTTAGGTGAAACAGGCAGGCCACTTCTAAGTATTTAGGTACCCTGTACCTTCCGGACGACCGACATTTGTGATGCGTTTCGATTGAGGAACTCTCACCATAAATTCAACAGACATCAACAGTACACCGCAGTCACTAATCTGCGCCTCACCGATACACAAGTATCATAAATCGCAGGGGAGGGGCTGAGATACTACGATGTGCCCCACACCTACCCAGACACGACGCAGGAACTCGTAGATTACAAGCCAAACGCCTGAACTACCCACCGCCGTTTTAACGCTGCCTGTCTGACACAAGTGAACGAACTAACACTTGAAAACTGCTGTACTTGAACAGGAGACAGTATATGAATAGACCGCATAAAACACGTCCTGCATTGCCATAAGATTGCATTAACCTCCAGCCGATTCGGCCAAATAGGTTTGATAATTGGGACTTCCTTCGTAGCAGCTTCCAAATCAGTTGGTCTTCCACGTACAAAAGCTACTGGGCACTGGTGCAATGCGCCAGTAGTCATGGGTTCGGAGGCTCATGCATGCACACTACTGACGAGTCCCAACGGAACGGAACAGCCGTCAAGTCTTATAGTGTCATGTTATTGTGTTAGCACGGAAGTGACAATGCTAATGTGCACATCCGCCACTTTCCGTCTTCTTACGGCTTCATTCAAATTACTAAAGGGATCTACTTGTTTCAAATTTGGAGGACCATCTGACTTGGAACTTGATGTGAAGCATCCCCAATTATTTGTGTCATTAATCCCCTACTCATGAGAGATAGGTTTGACTCAAGCGGCGGAGTCTATAGTTGTCAGTGCCTAGCAGTTTATTTTTTCTAGGCATGATCCTGAACTAACCCACTTTGTCGTAGCAGCTTCAGCAGTATGATGGACGCACTGATGGTTGTAGCGTTGCACACACCGCAAACCGATTTACCCTCAAATCTGTAACACGTGTGTAGTGTGTGTTACCAGCTTATTTGGCTTATTGCGTACCCGAATAAGACGTACGCACACCTGATCCGACATATTCTGCGCACTTGGCCAGCTTCACTTTCAGTACGCGCACGCTTTCGTGTCATCCGAATCGGCACATGCGTGCCCTGTAGGATTGCTCCAAAAGTGCAGGGCGTTTAGGCCAGATAGTTAGCGGTATCTGCTTTGGTAGTGTCCTTTACACCGCCTCTCCATTCGACCTCTCAGTACGCCTCCGCACGCGTGCACCACGCGTCCAATGCCTACTGGCACCTATGCGGGGTGTAGTGAATGCGACAGATTCTGATGCATCCGCATCGATTAGTATCCACCGCTTATGGGATCGCAGACAGACACAATGAAACGGGATAAGTGGCCAGGTAAAGGGAAAATCACACCAAAAGGTTTGTGAACCTTGATAACGTATCTACTGTCACCGAGTGCTGCAATGTCCGCCCGTCTCTTGTTGCTGGTCTCAATTGCCGGCTTGGCCCAAGCATGGTATAATGCTGCATGGACTGGTCCAAAATCCCTGACTTCACAAACGGAGCCTGTGGAGAAGTGCGGTGAATGCGACTTGACAAAATGTGTGGCCCCAAAGGAATGCAAAGCCGGTTTGGCACGTGACAAATGCGACTGCTGCCCCGTGTGCGCTTTAGAGGAGTCGCATTTGTGCAATCTCGACCAAGACGTGTTAGCCGTCAGGAATGGACTTCCTCCTGTCACTTGGCACGGACGCTGCGGACAAAACTTGGAGTGTCGCATTCGGAATGATATCGATTCCGCATTGGTTGGCTCTCAGAGTATTTGCTATTGTCTGGAGCCAGGTTTGGTTTGTGGCTCGGACGGTATCACATACTCTCCTTGTCAATTGGAAGCTGAAAAGGCGATTTCTAATGGAACTGTAACAAAATTAAGTGATGGACCTTGCAAAACAAGTGAGTTCTGAGATTATTTATGTCAAATAAACGTTTCAATATGACGCGCAAGCTTGTGGCCACACGTTTTTGCAGATTGTGGATACAATTTTTTACAGTTCACTAGCCGAAATCATTGGTACCCCATAAAATCGAATGGATCTTTTGCTTTTTGTTCCAAGTACTATGGCTGCCGCACTACATCGCGACACCAAAACTTGGCAATGTTCCTCTTGTGGATGGGTAACGTTTATCTGTTGAATCTAACTAGAATTCAGAACTATGTCCACACAGTCTCCTGAGGGAAACACTGGGGTTCTGCCGCTGGACGCTGGTTTCCAGTTTGTACTGCAACCAGAAGGTTGAAGCAAGAAATCCATTTTATAGCTCCAAACAAGAAAATCAGTACATTTGGTCATTTCATACAATCTTAACGACTGGTATGCTAAAGCAGGGTCATAGGAGATCGATTGGGGGTTAGTCAGTGGTCATCTGACGCCGTTCGTGTTACCACAGTTATTTCGGAAGCACTGCTGTTTTTGTAAGTGGAGCAGTAGCCGCTCTCGATCGATAACTATGGTTTCCGGCATCTTGAGAAAATGGAACATTTGACTACTCATCAAGACGATGGATGTCTCCTGGTAAAAACTTGGTCGCCAGCTCTCAGGAAATTACTCATGATTAAATAAATAAATAAATGCTTTATTTCTCGTCACTATGAGTGTTCCCACATAGGGCAAATCAACATGTACACAGTTGTTTTACGAGTGATCATCCGACACAGGGTTGGAAAGAATCCACTCCAGAATGTGAAGTTTGTATTGGTTCAAGTTGTATCACTCTTGAACTATGCGGTAAATTCATATAAATGGTACACGTTCACTGGTGAGTAGTTGGATTTGTTTGGGAGAAAATGTACGCGAGGGATTCCTCGTATTCATACAAAGGCACATTTAGGGCTGCGTTGGTCACTCCTCACTTTCATTTTAGTTTCCTCCATGAATATAAGCTTATTCCAACGTGGGATGCTTTCATAATTTTTCACGAGATAAAACATGACGGTACAATTGTTCCAACCTGTACAAATCGAAGTAACTCGCTGTCAAAAGTATTAATAAGTTGCGATAAACAGCCATGAGGCTCCTATATGACATAGATGCCATTTTCCAGTATCGTTTACCACGGCTGAGATATCCCTAGCACCGATATGACAGAAATTCACGTAATTTACCACGCTTCCTGATGTTTTGCGGTAATTTATTCCAAATCTCGGGTATACAAGCAGAAAGCCATTTTTCACCTTTGTGTTGTCGTCCTTGGAATTATGACCTTGGTTGTTGGTTTCATCTGGTTAGCTGTCACAGATACCACTCGTCTAGATAGCCACCTGGGGATGTGTTTAAAGCTTTTGACACTTAAACTGCACCCAGAAAGCTATCTTCACAGCTGCAGGTATATTTGAACCAAAAGTTAGACATTCACCACCTCTTTATCGGTGTCATACTCAAGCACATAAGCAGAAGTCATGTCATCGTGGGTAACCACAGTTCTGTTGCATTGTTCGACATCATTGGTGACCTGCTTGTCTGTTTCGTGTTGACTTTCATGATGTTGTCCACTTTGGACATTTACCCAATAAAGACCAGTTTCTTTAGGTTATTGGTACTTGGTCTTGCTTTGTTATGTCTCCTAGGCGTATTATAAATTTCAACGGATAACCCGTGGATTTCGAGGTGTCGATCTTTCTGCTTTCGATGTGTCTGGGGTACAAATTATCTGGACTCGACAGAATAGTATCCAGACGAGACTGTTTGTGACATATCGGAGAGCGATCTCTAGCATTTTAATACTGTTACTCTTGTTATGTCTTGGTAGGTTGGTCTAATCACCCTGTGGTCAGTATGTCTAGATGCAGGAGGCAGTTGTTGTGCCATATGCCGCACGTTCCAGTGAAGTTCGGATGTAAAGTTTTTTTGCATGTGCGATGTTCTTATTCGAATCCATGCTTAATATATTCTCAACATTACGCTTTTATAGAACCACCGTTCTCACAGCACCATCTATCTTCTCTTCAATCATCCCCATGAGCACCCCTACCAGTAACGACCGTCTGTCGATCTGTTTCTCACAGAAAGAGAAACTTGGTGTCCCAAATAACTCTTATTGCAGCGGTCCCGACAAACCGTGCCCATTTGAAGGCGCTTGACCGTTAACTATACTCTTAATACTCGACAGGACAGTATTAGTTTAATTTGCTTTGAAACCGCTGCTGAATGGGTAACCGAGCAGACCTACTCCAGTTGGCACATATACTAATCACGTTCTGCTTTCTGAGTACAGTTACGAGACCGGGTTAACCTATCACAAGCCTACATCATTATGATGAAACAACCACTTCAAGTGATGAACCGGTTTATTTTACGAGCTATGCTACTTGCAAATTTCAAAGCACCCATTCTAGGGGCTTAAAGTCTCTGCCACCTTGGAGGAAGGTGGACTACATACACGTTAGTTAAAAAAGGGATCTCAATCTTGCGATGTGTCTATTGTTTTTGCATGGAGCAGAGATCTGGCCATCGTGTGCTGTGTTCTCTCCCAACGGTATTGCGAAATATTCTGCATATGTGGTGTTGGGTGAACCGACTGAGAAATGTAAACGCTGGTCATTTAGCGTTTGTCAATAAACCCACGCAGCGCCCCAGTGGAGCGCATGTTGAACCACAATCGCTTTCACAAGCTCGGCCATGTGTTCTAGCTGACTAATCCAACTGCCTCACTCATAGTAATAATAATAATATTAATAATAATAATGATAGTTATGTTTCTCTTTAAGTGAGGAACTACGTCCATAGCTGGCACAGGTCATACATGTAGAGGCAGTACCATGCTCTTGCCTGGGCAATACGAAGTTGTGGCGAATAAAGAACAGCGATATATTCCTCGTCGGCGAGTTACAGTCCAACTGGACGTTACGAGTTTTGATGTACGGTGCAATCGCAAGGAGCAGATGTTTTATTTTTCAAAATTCCAAAGCAGTTCTCCAACTTTATTTTGGCAGACATGGCTAATTGATCGGTTAAATCTTTCGGGAATATTGAGAGGTTGTCGGAAATATTAAATGTAATGAAATTCAAATGTGTACGTGAAGTAATAGGCCATCCACGGAACTGTCTTCTGGGGATCGGCTTCCATGCGGGTTATTTCCCCGATGGGTTTCACTCGCATTTCCATACCCTATCTGGTCATGTGTCGTTATGGCTTTTAACGCAGGTAAACCATAACCTATTTAGCTCATCTTTATGACTGTTTTTCTGTGTATATGGTTTGAACAATCAAGCCATCTAGCCTGTACCATCAGCTGGTTTTTTTTGAGTTCAGCACTTTTCTCTCTCCAGGAAATCAATGGCTATGCGCCTTGCATGGGTACAATTATTAGTGTTGGACGCTTCAATCCATCACGTAAGAAGATCGACTCAGTCTTTGCCAATGATGAAGTAAAGAAGAATGTGTTGAGTTACAAGGGTAGTAACAGTGATGATACCTAATAAACAAATGGGATGTTTTGCTTCTGCGCAAGAGAGGCCGATCGATCACAGTGTACGGAGGGTGTCAGAAACAAATGACTGCTCGAATTATCGATATGCAGGACAGTACAGATAAAAAATTTTCCTGGTTCATCGTCCTTTGCATGCGTTTGAAAATTAGAGGGATTGATACCGTCGAGCAATGGAACTTGCTTCCTGTTCTTGGACTGTCGCCTCCGTGAAAGAAAAAATATTTAACATTACAATAAGGGTGTAAAAAGATAGTCACAATTAAACAAAATTCAATGCAAACTTTATGCCCAGATAGTGCGACACACAGACCGTGTGGTTGATCCGATCAAACATGCAATTACATTGTCAAGCAGGGTTTGTACTCAATCCGTTCCTAAGGAAAATGTTAATGAGTCGATGTTACAGCGGTTCAACTATCTAGGGCAGTCGATGTGTGTAAGAAGTGATATTTACGGCTTTCGGTAATTACTCCGTACTTCGTTTGTTGATACCACCGGATACAAAAGGGAGTTAGCCAGAAGTGCGGAAAAAGATTCTTTTATGAATAAAAAGACGTCGCAGTGATGGGTGAACTTCGAGTCAGTGAATTTTGTCATTTGATATAAGGCACTCGGCGCTTCCTCCTACAACATGATTATGAACAATGAACAATGATATATTACAGGTTAAAAAGTGATTGCTTTACAAGTCCCGTAGGATGGTTGAAGTGAAAGTAAACATAAGTGTAAATCGTCAGTTTAAGCGTCTAGTGAATTCAAGTGTCCCTTATTCATAGAAGGGTTGTAGAATATGTACTGAATTGTTACTGTAAATATGGGAAGTAATATGGGTAAGGCAGGTCTTAAGAACAACAGAAACGACCAACGTTTACTCGTGTGCCGCTTTCTTGGACTGGGGTAAATTTATGAATGCAGTTGTAACATATCCGAAACTATATTCCACAACGGCAGTGTGTAAATAGTGAAGCACAAAAGCTGAGAATGAGCACCGTTTTTTTTCGCGTTTGTTTGACGTGGACATCTCTGATTATATAGCGTAATGTAGGTGGATAAGCAAATCATCCAGACGTCTTTTGAATAGCGATAGCGTGGGGGAAGCAACAACGTATGTGGGAAGAGCGTTCCAGTGTTGGCACACACGAAGGGAAAAGAAATTCCGGCGGCATTCCAACCAGCTGTATTGTGTGGCCAGCCTTAGATGGTGTCCTCTGAGTGTTGTATTGCTATTCAGCTTTGGTAGGTGACGGCAACAATGGTTTGGATTCCTCAGGATCATGTAAGTCATTATCAAGTCGCCACGCAGGCGTCGATGTTGTCCACTGTGGACCCCAAGGGTTTTCAGCCTCAATCGGTAAGGGAGATGAAACAGGCTCTTTACGTTCTTGGTCGCCCTTCGTTGTGGCAGTTCAAGAGCGGTAAGGTCTTGCTTCTGCCATAGATGCCAAGCGTGGATGGCGTACTCAGA